GAAGAAGAAGAAGAAGAAGAAGAAGAAGAAGAAGAAGAAGAAGAAGACCGAAAAAAAAAACACCAAGCCTGAATTCCAAAGAAATCTGCCCACAAACACCATGAGGGTGACAACATCTAGATTTGGGGCAGGGGTACCACTTACCGCCTTCCTGTGAGAACGGGCAGGTCATCACTAGACTTGGCTTCGGTTATTTTGAATGCAACTTTCCTCAAGTCTGAAATGCCGACAGCCATGTCCTCTAGCATTCCAATTTCATCACCTGCACAGGGAGACAGGCTCCTTGTTAACAAACAGACTATTAAACTAAAAGGCTGCTCGCCGCGGTGCCTCCCTGCTGGAGCTCTGCCTGGCAGTGCAGTGACGGAGTTTCTCAATGCACTGAGCCCATTCAGCATATGCCCCGGTTCAGCTGTGCAGGTTTTCAACAGCGAAATAAGAATGCTTTCAATGGACTCCAGAAGTCAGTGTTCCCTTTGAGGGCAGAAGAATGTTCACCTGTACTGGGAGGCCAGAGGGAGATTTCTAAGCCTTTTATGAAGCAAACTATCATTTAGACATCTTTTTATTGACAGGACTGCTATTTGATATTTTAGAATAGAGGGCTTTACTGATCATTTCATCAATTATCAATCGCCGAATGCTAATTTTGTCTTCAAACTCTGAAAAACACCGTCTGAAGACATAATAAAGGTCCTGGATTAGCATAATTATAGAAATAGGATGCGGGCTACTCTTCAGATGGTCTGTTCTTCATTTTTTTAAAAGAATAAAATGAAACAAAGCAACATTATTTTTAATAATACGGTATATATAATCCCAATATACACAAATTGCAGATTCACATGTAAAGCCACATAAACTTCTTACCAGCTAATGCAAAACGCTGCCTCTGCTAGTCCTTGCAATCTGATGTTTGTGCCTAGAACTCATGGATTTTGGGGTAGCTGAATATCAAGCACTCCATAAACACATGGGGCTCTTATATTGAACAGCACAGTTCTAGACATGGGGCTACTGTGTCTTTACAATCCAGTCAATGAAACCAATGTTGTCAATAAGTCTCCTTATTAAAAAATAAATCCAGATGACTGCTAAAGAGCCCACTCTGAAATAGCCCACGATTCCATCTTCAAAACATAAATTGAATCTCGAGGAAAACCCAAGGGTGAGCGAGTAAGAAGTTAGAAGCTACACCGTTCCTCTGACAAATGGCATAGAAAAGGTTCACCACTGAGTTTTCATCTTATCTGAGAAAACTGATGTATTATGACTATGACCAGCAATAAGATCTTAATACAAACCCAAGCAATACTCACTATAGGTGCTTAGCAGTTCTTCATAGGTGCATGCAATACTCACTGTAGGTGCTTAGCAGTCCTTCATACTGCGCTATCAAGCCCACTGTGTGAAGCTGCTGGAGGAAGTCGGGGTCGTGCAGACTTGTATGTAACTTGATGATAAAACCACACACCAATCCAGCAAGCTAAGGAAAGAAATCATTCAAGAAGTTCACTGGGGTCAGCAAACTTATCACTTCAGTTTGTAAATATCTTCAGACTTTTGAGACATCACAGCTTTAATTAATTTAATTCAGCAAGTGTATATAACAAAGCTGCTAGAATTTGCACATATTTATTAAAATAAATCGATGGTCTTTGATCTAGGGTGGCATTGTCTAAGGGTTTGAGAATACAGAATTGAAAGGAAACTAGATAAATGGATTTTAGAACCAAGGTGGAAAATCTTTGAATTGGATATCTACTGTCTATAACGATGGCTCCATTAAACTTCTTAAGATTTTCAAATTCTACTAGTATTGTGGTTTTGCACACATGACAAGAGTCACTAAAAGGAAATCATAAATGAGCAGGCTTAAGAGAAAGGGCAATGCCTGGCTAGGCCCATCTTCCACTGAACCACCAGTGGCATAATATACTGCAATGAGCAATCTGATGAAAACCCCCCTCCGCAACGACAGCTTACAAAGTGAAGCATTGTTCTCTCCTGTCTTCCTGGTACTCGACCTCTGAAACTGAATCGTGGGGTAGAGAGAGGGGAGCAAAAGGAAAATGGTGAGCCCTGCACTGGGAGTAGAACTGGTCTTGGAGTCATGGTTAGGGTTGGCTATAGGAAAAGGGAGTCACCAGCCAACTATTACAAATAAATCCTGTAGCCTTGCAGAAGTCTCTTGTGAATGGAAGAAGGGATCTCTGTGAAACCTTGTCCTGAGATTTCTGAGAAAGCTGAATAAATAAGGGGTTACACACAAATGTGCCCTTCACTGAGCTCTTGGCCGTCACCTGCAATGCAAGGCGGCAGTCCCTTCCTTTCCCCTCATAGGCTGTCTCAGGGCATGACACAAGAGAACACTGTCTCTTCTTCTTAGAGTCCATTCATGATTCAAGGAAAATATACATTTCATATTGAGCTGTATCTTTTCACAAAGAAATGTCAAAGATTTAAAAGTTATCCATGACGTATTCAGTCTATTTATGCATATAAAAAAAACAGGGTGCCAGAATTTCAGAAGGGCTATTTAAAAAAAAAAAACACCGTTCAAAGGGCCATGCGCCCATCAAGGATGGGACGCCAGCAGTTCACACTTCTGTACACACCACAGTGGGCACCCACCGCCTGACTGAAGACGATGTCCCTTCTCAGCGTCAGCATCAGGCACTGGGGCAGGCTGTAGGCTAGCTCCTGAAGCAGCACAAACGTCAGGGACTGCTTGGCTCGGCTCACCACCTCTCCCATGCACTCCTTCAGGGTGAGGATGAGGGGCTGTAGCTGTTCATACCAGTCCTCTGTGGCAGGATGTGGATGAAGCAAGAACAGCGGCAAAGATGAGAAAAACGGAGCGGACAATCATTATTCTGAGTGAACTTGTCCCTTCACCCAGGATTCATGGACCTTTACTCCAGATGTCTGTCGGCCAGGACAGCAGGCTTCCATGGACCTTTGCCCCAGATGCGAGTCGGCCTCAACAGTGGCTTTCTTTCTGCTTTGCTTTTCTTTAATATGGGCATTCTCTGAATGTTAATTAATGATACTATCAAATCTCTTTATGCTAGAGACAGAAGTTTTGGTGGATTTCTTATAGAAATTTGGCCATCAAATCAGCTCTACTCCTAGCACGGCCCATTTGATAGCAGCCCACCCGTACTCTGCTTGTCATCCCGAGAATCAGTTCATGGTCTCCTCCTAACTTACGTCCCTCCTGCCTCCTTCATGCTCAGCTCCTATCCTCCCTCTGTGTGGATGGGAATTTCTCTATCAGTCTGAATCCCATTTCATTGTTCCCCTTTCCTTATTTAACATATATAAATCAACAAAAGCTTGTCAAGGACCACCATTGCATGCAGAATGAGTCCAAATTCATGAAGACCCTGCCACGATCTGACCTCTGCACACTTGTCCTGAACCACCTTAGAAAACAGTTTGCAATGCCGACTTCTAAGTGTATTAAAACACCCCTCATCCTACCCTACTTTCTTAACCCAGGGACTTTCAAGACAGTCATTCTTCTAGAAGTTTTTTTCCTCTAATTGGCTTTCTGGCAAACAGTTTACCCTCTCTGAAACCCTAGCGTGGGGCTCTATCTTCAAGGCAGTCGTCTCCTTGAGTTTCACCGTCTTTCCTGAAGAAAAAGGAAAGGCTGTCACATCCTTTTTGACACACACTGCTTCAGCCTGTTACTGCTGTGAGTACTTTTTTAAAAGGAGTTCAGTGAGGGAGAGGAATCCATTTATTTATTAACCACCAAATTCCCAGAAACTAGCACAGGGTCAGTTTTTAGCAGACACCAAAAATGTCAATGAATGGGTCGATTTATGAAAACTATGGCATGTTTTTGTAAAATGCAGGTGTATTTGAGAAAGTCAGACTTTTGACATTTTCAAATAATGGTTTTAAAGGTGTGTGTGTGTGTGTGTGCGTGTGTGTGTGCGTGTGTGCATGCGTACACACACACATTCTGTACACAGTATATGTACATGTGTTCACGTATGTATGCATGCCTCTGTGCTTGTATAAAGGACAGAGGTTTACCTCATGCATCTCCTTCTATTGCTCCCATCTTATATGCTGAGGCAGCCTCAGCCTGAACTTGAACCCACCCACTGGCTAACCTCTGGCTCATGAACTCTAGACTCCATCCTTCCTCTCAGCTCTCTGGTGTTGAGAACACAGGTGCCAATCACTGTGCCTGGCCTTTTGGGCGGGTGCTGAGTGGCTGTGTTTTCTTTTGCACATTTTAAGTAATGAAGAAGGAGTAAGGAGATAGGATCCACACTAAGGTCTTCAGCTTTGCACAACAAACATTTCACTCACTGAGTCATCTCTCCGTCACCCACATAGTCATTCTTAAAGTCAAAATAAAAATTGAAGCCCATTAGGTACTTACATGTCTAAATTTAAATATGGATCAACTGCATAACTATGAATTTGGCACATAATATATGAACAAATTATGTCTTATTCAATTTATTTGGAGAACAAAGACTTGAGAAATCTGAAATACAAATATTTGATTCTGTGGCATTCTATTCAAATATAAATTAATTAATCATGAGTTGACAAATACAACATAACATGAATGACGGAAGCTGCAAAACTAATTATCAAGCCAGTTTTGTGATAACATCATATCCTCAAGACAAGACGAATCATCTTCCAGAGTGCATTGAAAGGTCAACAATCAGCTAAGACCTTGAACGAACACAGAGAGTGAAAAAAGGAATCATATTAGGGCTGTGCTGTGTTTGCTATCACTTATTTGATGTTGCGATTAATAAACCAGACAACCTAACCCATATTGTTGGGAGGATAATGAGTGGCCCCAGCTTCACAAAGACAGAAACGATGCAATATAAAGCAGAACATTATGTGTCTCCTCTCAAAAGATACCGTAAACTTAAGTGTTATCAGTGGACCATGAAAAAAACAACCCACTAAAGAAGGGGACATTTAAGGAAAGCTCATGACAGCTGGATTCATTTGACAAAGAATCAGCTTATGCCTCAGGATGAAGTATTGGTGGTTCAATTGACAATATTATTTCGCGGGAAAGATCACTTACTTTCAGAATAAATGACATTGAAGGCACCAACAAACAATGCTCTAGCTTACTGTACAACTCCCAGATTTATATTCTTGGATGTCTCATCTTCATTCATTCAATTCATTCTGTAATTGCTACCCTCAATATGAGAGAGCAGTCATGTATGTGTGAGTGTGTGTGTGTGTGTGTGTGTGTGTGTGCACTGACATCACCTGCCTTCACACATTAAAACACTAGGAAAAGAAAATTCTGATAGACTGACTCAGAGTTCGATGCTGACAATTAAGTGTCAACCAGCTCCGTTTAGTAGTTCGTGCTGTAGGATTAAAATTCTACTGTGCAATGATCAAGCAGAAAATCCAGCTTTTGTGCAGTAGGTGGAGCTGCTCTATCAGTCTGAAGGAGAACTACCTTGTCACTCATTTCATTCAAGAATGAATGAATGAAACAGGTTTTGTATCTTTGCGTAGTCCTCAAGAAGCGTGTCTGTTGCTTCGGCACCTTGAATCATACTCTCCCATATCTGGGGGAACAGCTTGCTCAGGGGTGTAATATGTTCTTTCTCCTTGGAAAACAGAAAAGCTAACTTAAGTGTCTAAGGTTTTGTCCTTGAATGAGTTTGTCATTTCAAATGAAATGCAGCTGTTTGCTTTTCTTAAAGGTTTTTGAAAGAAGAAGCTCCATAGACCACTTAGGAAATGAAAGAAAAAAGGTAGAGAGAAAGAGGCCATTTCTAGCCTCCTTAGAATGGGGATAGAAATACACTGATGCTCTAAACCTGGGGAAACAGCGGGAATTTTCCTCACTGGTAGCATTCTGTCATCTCCATTCAATACAATGCCTTACATTCGAAGTAAGATGGCAATTATATATTTATAATTGCAATTTAAGAAGAATGAGGATGTGGGAAGAAATTAGTTATGAATGAAGAGTTGGAAGTTTTAGTGCATGGTAAGGAATCTTGAAGATGGACAGTATGCTTTCTTGTAGAAGCATAAACCAGGAAGGCACCCGATGCATATTTTTCTAGAAAGAGAAGATACCAGCTAAGTCGGCAAATAAAGGAACTGGTTGCAGCAAATTCCAAAGACTACAGGTTTATTTCTCATGACAACACCCACCCCCTGTGTAAATCACAGGTTGTGACAAACACACCATAGGTTATGATGGCCCTAATAAAGGCTGAGTTCATGTCACAAATGGTCTTTCTGCTCCAATGAACATTCCACATCACTTGTACAAAATATGCTTCTGTTTTCTCTTTGAAACTGATGGTTGTTTTTTGGTTGGGCGAGCTCCTGGTTCGGGGAGGAGCTCAGTCTTCACACCCTCCCCTCTCCACCCTTTGC